TCAATTGTTATAGCATTGAAAAGAACTAGAAGTTTTACTGATGACGCTGTTTGGTAGTGTTAAAGAATACTCGTCTCGCATTCAAAGCAGAAAACTTGCCCTATCCCACATGTTTATACGAGTGGCCTGTTGCACAAGAGTTAAAAGAGAAAGATGATGCAAGAACATAATGACTAATTGACATGCTACCAATAATTAAAGGGTCCACTGAATCCGCTCTGACCGGTTCATCAGTCGCGAAAAAGAGTGATGTGAATGCTTTATTACATGTAAAGCTATAGATAGGAATCATAAAGTGTTTATTTTAAATCTAGACTTTTTTTGATAATCAAAAATAAACACAAGAACGGCGAGGATTTCGATGAACACCCATCAGATGGAGATACTTCATTTACAACAGTTATTGTAGAAGGAATGAAATAAACACGTAACCTGATAACAAGCAGCGAATAGTGGATGAATAAAATAGAGCACTACGTACTTAATAGAATACCCAATTATTGCTTCGAGTGAGTGATCTAGAAGTCTGACACTTTCTGAGAATATTCATTTATGATTTCAAGGTTTTAGCTGATATTGATCTAAATTTTTGACACTCTCCTCCTACTAAAGGTGTTGATTTGCATTTAATTAGTCCCAAATGCTAAATTACATTATTTGTATCGCCATTATTTTCACAACAAGAATCCCTGTTTAAAGGAACGTTCATGCAGAAAATTTAGACCAAGAAAACCGAAAGGCTCCAAGTTATGACCTTTGAAGGTTGCGTTCTTAGTGCAATTTTCGCGGGTAAAAATACGAACATGATAACCCAAAGTTATTTATCCGACCCTCACCAAATTTTAATTTTTTTTCAAGAATGTTATTGACTGTACTTGAATACACATTTTAAAGAAAAGTAAGTCTAACACTCCTTCTACAAATATTGGTTTATGAATTAAGATTTTGACCTGTTATGATTTAGACTTTTCCCTCTCTCGTCGTGCGACAAATGTTGATTTGCATTTAACCGACTCTTCAAGGTGAGTAACTTCACGCAGTATTTGATGTTGAACTAAAGCTGCGTACAAGTTTTGTTTTGCAAAATCAAGAATAAGAATAAACTTATCTATATCTAAAATAAAGTGGATACTTCTTGAGTGTCGAAAATGCAACGAGATTATCTTGTTTCATTGACTGTGAATGGAAATAACAAAAAATGACTAATCTGAATGGTTAAGAATAATAACGAAAGAATAGTTATTTTAAGAATGTTGTTTACAGCACTTGAATAACACATTTAAAAAAAACTTAGTCTGAAACTTTCTAAAAACAGTCGTTTATGAATTTAAGATCAGTTTATTTAATGGCGTAGATCTTGTCCTTATTTTCAGCAGCCTTCGTGAGACTAAAAGCTTTTCTTTTCTGCTTTACGAGATGGAATTTAGGAGATGTGTATGTTTGTGTGTTCAGTGTTCCTAACCCTAAGAAGTGAGAATTTGATTAATTCGTTGGCTAAGCGCAGGAATATGAGAGTAATGGATGGATATTATAGAGCAGCTTGCAAATACTTATTAAAAAACTCGACTTTAGCTCGGAGTAAGTGTTTCAGAAGTTTGATACTTGCAAAGAGTTTAGGTTGATGATTTTAAGACTTTGACTGATATTGAGCTAGGATTTGACTTTCTCATGCTAAGAAAGGTGTTGATCTGCATTTAGTCTGACACTTCAATGTGTCTAGCTTCTCTTAGTGTTAAATTTGCATATAAAGCTGTGTACAGGTTAATAGTTTGTAAAACAAGATTTAGAATAAAAGTTATCTATATTTAAAAAGAAAACAAATCCATTTTTTTGAGTAATAAGAATGTCTCAAGATCATCATGTTACAAAATCTGTAAATGGGAATAACTGAAGGTTACTGATCCTAATCGTTAAATATACAGTCTAAGACTGTATGTGGCTACTCATATAGCTCAATTTCTACCGCAACGAAAAGCACTAAAGTTTTCTAGTGAAGGTATTGTTGGAGAATATTTGTCTCACTTTTAAACTAGAAAACCTGCCGCATCTCACATATACACATATTTATGAGTGCCCTGTTTCACAAGAAAAACAGTGATCCAAGAATATAGGGTCTGATTGACATGCAACCAATAACTAAATGACAGCAAATAATTATATTAACAATAAAATTACAAATGATAACCATAGTATTGGAAATTATAATTTAAAGGGGCTAGCTCAAGAACCTCACAGTTCTTCTATCCTCAAAGCTCCAATAGTGATTAAACTATGCTTCGTTGATGAATCCCTCCACAATTTATAATTCAGTTGCACGCTATCAGTGTCAAAGGGGAAGTAGCTGTGATTATTTGAATAATTTGAATAAACCATTTGTGTGGTTGACACTTTCCAATATGGTCATACTATGTACTTCAATGATCGCTTGTTCAATGTGAGTGAACCGTAGAAAGGAAGCCCGAAAAGAAGAACCATTTATGTTGTCAGAAGCGGGATTATCTTTTTACAACGACAACGAGTCAAAGCTTCCCCACAAAGTCCTTTACCGGAGAAATTGGATTCCAAACAACCCGAATAGTGGAAGAAGTGGT